AGCCCGAGCCGAACTCAGACTTACCGAACCGAGCCCGAGCCGAACTCATACTCACCGAACCCGAACCCGAACTTGAACAATGAAATCGAACTCGAACTCGAACCCGAACCCCGAACCGTTCGCACCGAACTTCCGAACGCTAGTTCGGGCTCGTTGCATGCCTAGTGCCGAAGCGAGTGAAAGATGTAATAACATCAGCATGTGTTGAATGTGTGGTTCAAGATGGTCGAGCATTTCATTTATTAAAAGGATCAGGCTTTATTCGATTAGCTAAAGAATTGTTCAATAGTGGCAAGCTTCTGTCTTTATCAACAAATATACAAATTGAAGATTTATTACCTAATCCAACAACCGTAAGTAATTTATATTACATACAATAAGATAAATACGTATTTAATCAACAATCTTTTCTTATTAGATAAGTAGAAATATTGATCGACTGTATACTTATTATAAAGAGAAATTAATCGATCTTTGCCGATCAATGGATAGTTTTTGTTTGACAGTTGATTTCTGGACTGAACCCTACACTGGTAAGACATACTCGTTTATTGAAAAAAGTTCTTTTCCTTGTGTTTTTTTACAAAGGTTTGTCATATTGTGGTTTATCACTTGGTCACGTTGATCTTCAATTTCAACCACAAACATTTCTCATTGGGTGTTACCCATATCAAATGGAAAATAAACGTGCACCAACGATTAGATCATTTATTGATACTGTTCTCAACGAGTTTGGACTAAAATTGAATCAAGAAAAATTTGTCATGAGTGATAACGAACCAACAATGAAATGTACATTTAATTCCAATTGCAAAAGAGTTGGCTGTAGTGATCATTACTTGAACAAGCAAATGCAACATGCCTTTACGTCAACAATTATCGATGGAGAAAATGTTAATTGCGAATCGGCTCAAGATATGTTTGATGATGTCAAACGTATTCTTTCAAGTGTTCGCCGAATGCATAAACAACAAGATTTGTCGAAAAATTTGGTTATATATTCAGATACGCGCTTTGGTGGTGCTTTCAATATGTTGGTCCTATTCTCGGATGTGTTCGATGAAGTAGCTGAAATTCTTGATTCAAAGCTATTTACAATTTATAGCAGAATTGATAAAGATCTTTTATCTGATATTTGTGAATTTTTATCTCCATTTATTACTGTTCTTGAAACTCTAAGTGATAATAAGCGACCAACGCTTCATCGTGTAGTACCATTCAAGCAATTCCTAATTAATAAATGTGATATTGGTAATGATGAGAAACAAGGTGTAAAACAATTGAAATTGTTTTTGCGTATGAAATTTAAAAAATAACAAATTTGAGTTTTCTAATACTCTGTTATACGTCTAGGTAAACGACTGGAAGAGAAATAGGAGCTTTCAAATGAACATCTTATTTCTACGTTAATTCATCCAAATTTAAAACATTTCCATATGTGTCCTCAATTGAGAGAACGTGCCATACAATTATTAAAACAAGAAATGTTAAAATGTGAAGATGTTCCATTTACGAATACATCAGTTACTACAAACACATCATTAATATCATCATCGTCATCTTCTTCAATATCATCACCAACGATTTCAACATTAGGTTCATCGTCAACAAGTGCAGCACCATGCTCGTCATCAATAACGTCAGCATCATGTTCATCATCTTCTACACCAATGTCGCTGACAAATTCTTCATCGGCACGAAAAAAATACTAATCAAAATATTCGATAAGCCACATGTAGTACTAGAAAAAAACCAGTGTTGAACGAGAATTAGAAAACTATTTAACATCTACATCAGTGGTACAAAATGAAAAAGAAGACGATATACTTGCGTATTGGAAGGAACATCAAAAACTATTTCCATTAATTGCTTTAATTGCTCGTCATGTTTTGGCAATACCCGCCTCGAATACATCAGTAGAGAGATTATTCTCAGCGTGCAAAAACACCATCACAGACAAACGAACAAGATTAGGCGCTGATAAACTGAACAAGATTATGTTTTTACAAAAGAACATGAATGTCTTACAAAACAAATCTAGTGTTAATGTTACTGGCACACATGATCATGAAGATGCAGAGCGAATTAACGATGAAACCAACGCAAATCATGAATCAATGCACGAAATATTAAAACAATACGGCCATGTTACAAATCACTATAATGATGATGATTATTTAGTTAATATGGACAGTGACGACGACGAATAAATTATTAAACTATGTGATTTTCTTATTTTTTTTCTCAGTTTTGTTTCGAATGTAAAACTATTTAATCAGGTTATGTATTTTACTTGTTTTTTATTGCTACAAGCAGTAAATGAACTGTCAGATTTTATAATTTAAATGTAAACATTAACTTTTTCAATAAATATTTGAAATTTTGAACACATACAATATTTTCGTGAATATCAAATTTTAATTTCGATCACGATCACGATCACGATCACGCGTGAACGTGATCGCGATCGTGAAAAAAGTGATCACGCAGTACACTACTTTACAATTCACGATGATTCTGCGAGAAAGAATATAGTTACTTTTACTGTTCGCTCGCTATTTTTGTGTTCTTTTTTTCTGCTCGTTCAAGTATGCGTTCGGTATAATTGAATGATAATATATGTATGAGTTATTCTATCTAAAGTCTCAAGTAACAAATCCAAAACATTCTAATGAGAGTATGCATGGGTTTATAAGTCAGGATCTTTCATCGAAACTTCATTTGAATTAGAAAAAATAAGACTAGCGAACACCACTATTGCTGTTTAGTTACTTCTATTTTCTTATTATTGATGAATCGATTTATTTTATCATACTTAGTTAATAGTAAGTTGGCTATTTACTAAATAGCATTCCCATCGAGCGCTGACTGAGTAACAGAAAAGATGATCACTGAGCAAGTATCAATTTGAGCATAGTATGTGAGAACTTACTGAACATTTTTATTTATAATTATATATGATATCTTCTGTTCTTGAATAACTCTCTGACACTTTCTGCTTTTCTTCTTCGTAGTACTAATAAAGATTTGAGAAATGTTTCTTTGACCATTGTCACCTATTGTCGTGCAATTTTGTTATGCGACTGATACTGGCTTAATTATTTATTATATAGAACTATGATCGAACGCCGTTTCATTGAAAGCAATGATCACTTAAAATACACATACTGCCCCTTTTGTTTACTGTTTCCAGTGAAAATAAATAATCTTGATGGATAAATTAGGTCAAGGAGAAAATCTATAGGAAATCGCAGCCGCAACTTAGACGATATTCGATGCATATTCTAGCTTATTCTGATCTGTCACGCTATTCTTCGATTATTTTGAAAATTTCAGATATGGATAACAACCAAAGTTTGAGTAATACAAAAAACATTTCATTAGCTACCACCGAAATATCTCTATCACTTAATTCTCGCTTTTGGATTCTTCTTCTATTTGATATTCCATCCGTAGCTTGTGCATTTTTTGTTCTTTTCTGTATCCTTGTTGATCGAAAATTACGCACTAACCTAAAGAATCATGCTCTCGTTATTATATTGCTTCTTGGTATCGGTTCTCAATTAATCGATGTTTCTTTTTATCTCAATTTTATCGTTCATTCAAGTGTTGTTCCAACAAAGCCATCGACTTGTCTCTTGTGGTGGTTTTTGAATATGGATATGTACGATGGAGGAGTCATATTTATGGCCTGGACTGCTTTTGAACGGCACATTATTGTATTTCATGAAAAATGGATTTCAACAAGAAAGCGACGCATCATAAATACACTATTTTCCAATGCTTTTTTTAATCCTATATATTTTTATTTATTATATTTATGCCATTTATTATTTTCCTTGTGAAAATACTTACGATTACACATTGCCAGTATGCAGTGGGCCT